GTTTTTTTCCTAGCTGTAAAATCAAACCCCTGAATTTTTAACAAAGTATTTAACAACTTTCCCCTTTGAGGGGAAATGGTCAGCTATCTGAGGGAACAGAAAGCAATGCTACTCAATCAAAGACTGCCCACCGGTCCACTCGGCCAGGCTGGCCTCAGCGCTGTCTAGAATAAAGTGTCCTCACAGTTTGGCTTCTCATCTTTCATGCCCAGGGGATCACAGCAGAGCCACCTCACCTAACAGATAGTTTTGTCCATCAACTAACTGGCCTTGAATTCACGTGTGCAGTAACTTCAGACAGGCTCAGGTCTCACCTCTACTACTTGGAGAAGCTCCTTAATTTTTTCACCCCTTCGTCTTAAGAAGCAAACTTATTTACAATGGCCAAGATACGGAATCAACCTTAGTGTCCATGGACAGATGAGTGGCTAAGGAAAACGTCTATACACAACAGACTATTAATCAGCCTTAAAAAAAAGGAAATCCTGTCATTTACAACGTGAATGAAACTCAGGGACAATCTGTGCAGTGAAATAAAGCACAGACAGAAAGACACTTAGTGTGTGACAGTGGTTGTATGTGCAATCTAAAAAAACTGAACTCACAGGAGCGGAGTAGGAAGGCGGTTGCCAGGGGCTGGGAGCAGGAGACACAGGAGCAGGGAACGGGATGGCAGTCACAGGGCACAAAGCTCCAGCCATGCAGAATGAATGAGCTTTGGAGAGCTAACGTACAGCATGGCAACCAGGGTTAATAATACTGTACTATGTGCTTGAAATGTGCTCAGAGTAACTGTAAACGTTCTTCAACTACACACAAAAAACAACTGTGAGGTGATGATCTGAATACCTTGACTGTGGTAACCACTTCATAAGGTATGTCAAAACACCACATTGTACACCGTAAATACATATAATTTGTGTCAATTATACCTCAATGATGTTGGCGGAAGAAAAATGAGTTCAGTGGTTAAAAAAAAAGATGGTGCCTGGCATCCATGGCGGGTGTGTATTCAGTTTAGTTCTCGCCAAGCTGCTTGTTCAGGTTTTGTTGTAACCATGGTGCCATCCTACCTTTTCTGAAACATTGCAGCGTCAAACGGACTGGAGTGAGGCAAGTCTAGATTGTCACCGGCCCCTGGACACCCACTCCTGCTGCCAAATTTCTAAAATGCCACTCTGACCCATCAACGGCTCCCCATTGTGTCCCCCAGCGTCGAAGCTGTAAATGGACTTTGAAACCCCTGCCCATGGGCCTCCATCCACCTGGCACCCGGCTCTCCAGCCACATTCTCTGCCCAGGGTTTTGTTCCCTTGGCCTCAAGTCCTTTCTTCCTCAAACACCTTCAGATCACCGCTGTCCTTCTCCGGGCTCTCAGGCAGACTCAGTTCCTGTCAGGCATTCAAGCGTCTGTCTCAGCACCTCAGCCTCACAGCAGTTCTGCAGAGACTGGACCGCCCACCCCAGATGAACGCTTCGCTGCCATCATTACAACCCTGAGCACAGAGATCAGAACTTAGGGAACAAACCGTACACGTTATTAAAAGATTACTTCTCTGGGATGGCTTTTACTTTACTTAAAGGCAGGGAACTGAAAACCCATTACATTCAAGGTTTCTCTTCCGCTTTCTATGGTTAAACCTAAGGCATCACAGACCCATTATCCAACAGCACTCTCTTAATTTAGTGAATCACATCTGGCAACATTCCCGATTGCCCACAATCCTTCCCTACTCCTGTAAGAAAAACAAGCCGGAATGAACGGATAGAAGGTAGGCAAAGTACAAACCCCAGCAAGGAAGTGCTTCACACTAACCAGACTGTATGGCGTTGAATTCCCCTGCCCGCTCCCCGCCCATCCTACCCCCATCTCCAGCCTCTGAATTCCTTTCCTTCTTATGGTTCCGGGAGATTGAATAAACACTAGGGGCCTGAGAGGCCAGTGAGGGAAGACCATCACAAACACAAGCTTACATTCTGATCAGAGCTGTGGGGCGGTTCAGGCATATGACCACAGCAGTAAACTTGACCCAGTTTAAAACTCAACGCGTGATTTAAAGGACCTTAGCACTCAACTAGACTTCCTCCAGCAGAGGGAAAGGCGCAGTATGCCGAACTATTAAGTCCAAGACAGGGCCCATCCTTACAGGGCCTCACAGGCAGCCAGAGCAGGTCAGAGCTGCCTCCCCAGATGGCTCCAAGCCCCTAATGGGAGGGTCCAAGGCGTTAGGAACACCTTCCAGCCCCAACAGGGCTTCAGGTCTGCAGGTTAACGTGCGTGGGAAGGGTTTAGCCGTCAACGTCCTTGCTAGCAGTGCTTGTCTGGTGCAATCTTAAAACCAGTGTCAGGTCACTCTGTCAGGCTGGATCCCCACAGCTCTACTGCAGCTGAAGGCATCTTGCAAACACAGGTCTCTGCCCCACGTGCACAACTGAAGTCAAACCGATTCTAACCCACTTGCTCAAGTTTCTTAAGGTGGTTTTTACAAAAGAAACCAGAAATTCACACTACTTGAGAATCAGGTGCACATGACCAGCCAATAAATTGGCTGCCTCTGCAAGTTTACTGCCTTTCTGGAAATCTCCACCCTTCCCTGGATGTTGATACCCACAGGACCCAAAGCCCACTCCGAAGGCCTTCTTCAAAGCTGGCCACAGCACACCATGAAACTGCATTCAAAACAGTACGCCGATTCCTACCAATCCGGTACCAGTGAGCCATTACTAGTTTGCAGTAACGTGAAGCTTTCAAGGCTTCCCCCACAGGGATTTCACAGTGAGGGTATAATGTCCCCAGTATGTATGAACTAGATAGAAATGTGCACGCCACCCCTCCACCCCCGATAATTGAACACTAGATTCAGAAAATCCAGGCAAAGTAGAAGCAATATATTTTGCAGCATTTTTTCCTTCCAACCAATGACTTGTCAATTCTCCCACCTCCTGTTAAACACGTAAATGAAGCAGCCTCCAAAATTTAACTTTTACACTTAAGACTCAGTATCTGTCATACTCACACTCTACATTAAGGTTACAAACAACACATGTCCCTCGTATTAAATATCTGAATGAAAAGTTTCCTCCTCATCGTGTGAACAAACCTTTGCATCTGTTAAAATCTGGTTCTGAGCTACACATAACATATATAGTAATTCAACTCTGAGTGAATCCATTGATATATTCAGTACGTTAACAAATTAAAATGTACCCAATTTTACCCATATTTCATTTTTACATGTACTTCAAAATGGGCCTTCCCTACCTTCTTCTTAGGTAGGAAAGTAATTTAAGGTTAATTGGACACCTATAAAACTTCAGTCAACTACTTAAATGAGAAAAATAGCTCTAATTTTTAAGATTTCTAATGGCTACAGTGTGGTGTCAGTCGGACCAAATTCAGGCAAGACAGCCTCAATTCATGCTGACACGTGGAAACCACAGAGATAATGATTAATCTAACAAAAGGGCAAGTTTGGCGGCTTCGTGTTACCGAGAAGCCATTCTAAGCACTACTTCTCTGTGGCAGCATTGTGACTGTGCCCTCCACCGCCTACAAACATCCTTTGAGGGGTGGAAGATCATCAGCTGTGGTGCATCCAATTGACTCCATCTTTGACATCTTTAAAGCTTAGAATACTTGAAACAGCAGGTGAACACCAACATCCT